TAGACTTGTTAATTTTGTTAAAATTCAAAGTTTCATATGACAGAATTTTGTAAGACTGCTACGGCATGAAAGGAATTGACAGCACTGGAAGAAAAACGAAGTAAATGAGTCATTCCCACGAGTCAAATATCAAGAATGGTTGAAAAATACTTAATAATGAATTTGCAACACTCTTACAAATCATTGACTTCGATGGGTCTACAATTTTTGATAGGCTGGATATAAAAGCCAAATATTTTCTAATTTTGAATGCAGATTATCTCATCAATTCTTAATTTTCATCCCATCCCGTACTGAACTAGAATGAATTGTCTGACAACACGGCATCCATTGTACGCCTAGTTTATAAGTACGCCCATGTTTGGCTCGACGTGACAATACGTTCAACATATAAAACATGTTAACGGACGTGCAGCGAAAATATAAACCATCTCTTAGAGTGTAGCCAGGTCACCTTGTCCTTCTTCTAGATTAAAATCGGATTCAAAATCAAATTATGTATGTCCGTCTATCAGCCCAGTAATCAAGTTGTTGCCTAAATGCATATACTTTATTGATCGCAACTTGATTAACTAAAATCATATCTACATACTGCTATCATAACGTGGCAATTGCTCAAAGAACTTGCATTTACATAGGACGTAGGCGTTATTCGGGTCCTTGCGTGCTTCATTAAGTTGGCAACTAAATACTGACAGAATCATGATACATACATAAGGTTATGCATGACCAGCTAGTGCTTGACTTATATACATTTGTAAGGGATATCAAAATTATTACTTACAAGGGAACGTTTTTTAAAACTACGCAAGGATTTTCAAGCCACATATATCAAAAAATCTTGCCAAAAATTAAGATCCATACATGTGTATTAGAGATGAGTCGGGTTCAACCGAACCCAACCCGAGGGTTCGGGCGGGTTAGGCATCCAAAATTGCCCACTCGGGTTAGCCATTTAAAATTGCCCAGTCGGTTTGGGCATCCAAAATTGCCCAGTCGGGTTCGAGTCGAGCAAGTTTGAGTCGGGTTGGGCATAGCAAAAGCGCGATTCGGGCGGGTCGGGTTCGAGTCGAGCAAGTTTGAGTCGGGTTGGGCATAGCAAAAGCGCGATTCGGGCGGGTCGGGTTGATTGGGTTTTGGGTGGACGGGTTTAAAAAAAACATTCACCCGATTCACCTCTAATACAGTATGGCACATATCTTTCCGTTGAATATCCTCTTTGAATAAAAATGGTGCAGGCCGAAGTTCAAACGTCCGCAAATTTTCACTCTCGTTTTCCTCCAGTGGGTGATAACCATGGCGGAGTGCGAACTTTGACCTTAAAATTGTTCTTCAACTGGCCCATTCAAGGGAAAGGTTCATAAAGTTCGACGTGTTTCTTGTTTTTTTTCATGATTATTTTTTTGTTATAACTCAGCAGAGAATTTTAGTAAACATATCTTGAAAAAAAGTTCCAGGTATGTAAATAAGCCCCGTTTAGCATGAAGTTCTGATCAAATCCACCACGCTGAATAATTTCACAATCAATATAATAGTTTACTTCAAATGAAGTGATGTAAGAGTGCTCTTACATACTTTTCAAAAAAGTAGATAAAATTATTTTTAAGAGTGTAGTGTTACTCTATTACGAAATCAATTGATTACATGTTATTTGTACGAAGAATCACAAAATCTGTAAGTGTATAAAACACATACAAACAAACACAAAGCAAACTCTGTACATACATATTTTTCATGTGAAGAATATGTACTAAAACGCACGCATCATCACATCTTGGGATTGTACATAAAGTATGTGATCCATTTTCTGGAAATTTTGACCCCTACATACCTCCGATGTCACCTATGCGTTCAATGTCATATTTAATATGGGAAGAATACTCTTCTCAAATCGATTGCATGCTTTCTGCACAGTCCGTATCCGTATCTCATGCAATTTAACCCTTTTTGATCTCCAGATTCCCATATAACTCGACTCAGCTCCAGGCTCAAACACGAAAACATGTATTTTCTCACATGCCGACTTTCTCCTGATCTTTACTCTTTAAATTAAATCGTTATTTTTATATATTTATTTAAATATCTGCCAATTAAAATGGCCCCCCGACACCGGAAGCTTGACCGAAAAGAGATTGACCACGATGGTAACGTAAAATCAGAAAATATTAATAATAAAACGAAGAGGAAAGAATCAAAAATTAGGGAAAAATCACTAAAGAGAACACCATTTAAACCAATTGTAACCGCAGTGGTGATAATATTTGGAATTGTGGCGTTATTCGCAATCGCACTAAAATCGCATAAATACTATGAAGACAACTACCTTCAGAAACCTTTAAGTGTCAAAATACGAGAATTTAGTGAAATGTTGATAAATCTGGCGGACATTGCGGAAACGGTAAAACAAAAATATACAGGTTTCCTTACAAATGTTATGTAAATAGTTATTGTGTGCAAATTGAGAGCAAATGTAAACACAATTATGTGCGTACATACACTCTTAAAAATAGCGTTACTACCCATTTGAACAAGAAATGCACTTTGAATTCAGTATTAAGTAAATCACACTAAAAACCCGGAGGGTACTTTACTATTTGCCAAGTTAACGGTGCTCTGGATCTGTAGGAATGAGAAATGAGTCGCATTATTCCCCTTAGTTTTGAATGTCGCGGTGCATATTGCATCATCTTTTTTGTGTACGTGGTTGGAAAAAGAAGAGAGTTTTTTTTACTGGTATTTTAGATTTTGCTGAGAGCAGTAATGTTTTTTGGTATAAAACAAAGTTAGATTATTTGAGTTAATTAAAAGCTGCATTTAAGTCTACTTTATTCAGTATTCGTAAAGTAATTAGTTAGTCCAGGCATCAGGTCGGCTGCAATAATCATCTCCATACTTTTGACATCACGGCGGCTCAACCAGAGTAACGCTTATCACGGGTAGTGTTAAGGGCGACTCTACAGGATCTATTTAAACGGTGCTGATTTAATTCGTCCCGATTTTTCAGAAATATCTGAAAACTTAAGGTTCTTCTGGTGAATATTGTGATGCTCATGATTACGACTTGTCTTCATTCTACGCATGGTAGAATCTCAAAGACAAATAGTAACTAGTTTGAAATTAATACTTAAATACGGTTTTAGTCCAAAAACGACATCATCCAGACGAATTAAATCAGCACCCTTTAATATGTAATGTATGGTTTTCTTATATAATTCAGACTGCATTTACGTTTAAAAAATGTTACGATTACTTTAAGAGTGCACATGCACTCTAAACAAAAAACTAATCAAATTTTATTTAAAAAGTTTAATTTTTATTTTAAGCATTTATTATTTTTAGCGTTAATTTCACTTTTAATTAGTTTAAGTTGATCTTCAAGAGTGTGTTGAGGGAAAATGATACAAACAATTTTTATCAATCTAGATGAACAGTCAAGGCGAACCTGACCCGATGGATGTAATCCTCACGAAAAGACTTGGTCCAATTCAAAACCGTGTGTCCAGTCTAAGAACGCAGATCAGACAGCATGAAGAACTCCTGGGAAAAATTAAGGTCCCTGGCGGACCTACGAATTTTATTGACACGACGTTACGAGAACTTAACAGCTTTTTGGATATTTCGTTTCCTCAGTTGGATGACGAGGTAAGGAGAAAGTCAATAAGTACATACACGTTGTGGATAAGTTTTCACGTCACTCATCTTTGTAAACTTTGCGGTGTTTGCCAAATCAGTGTCGGCAACGACTTACATAAAGTTTAATGAATTAATAGTTATTTTAAAATGGAAAATCATATGCAATTTAAACATGAAATTTAAGTATTTACGACTTTAACGAAACTTGGTTAAATACTCGCAATATGTCAGACTTGAAAAATGCTGGAATGGCTTATTAGTTCCACTTTGAAATTTGTTTGCTTCATTATTGTTTTTTGTAAGTGATTACAAACAATGGCAGGTTAATACTGCCGTTGTAGAAGAAGTAAAGTTTTTTTCACAAATAACTAATGTATGTAAATATCTGACAAAAATGTGTTTATACTAGTTTTTGTCAGTATTTACATTTCCAAATTTGTTTCAGGTTGACGTTATCCTCCAAAACATGCTCATGAGGACCGGTACCCCGCAGAAGTTGGCACTGATGCAGAAAATTGGGAACACGCAACAAAAGTGGCTCCGTCTCGTGGAGTGGACTCGAACCGAGGTTCTCGAAAAGGAGGGAATCTCCTTCTTTCCGGGCGAAGCCTTCCTCCCCGTCGCGGAAGGAATGGATGCCAACACCTTCGTCAATTCGTTCACGTTACGAGATGGTGAACTTGGCGAATCCATCGAACATGGGAGACGGATTGCGGACAAACTTGCCAAATTAGGGGAACTGTTTGAGCAAAGGGAAAAAATTAGGGAACTGGTATGTACGAGGGGACGTTCATAAGTTATGCAATACGAAAAGCATACCTGTTCAAAAATTTAGTTTTCATTCAAAAATCAGTCATCCCGATTTCTTACTGAAGATTTTCATTCACATTCAATTATTTCCTTCTTTCAAATTCATTTCATTTTCACTTCACCTGATTTCATTTGTTACTTCACCCCATGTATGTATGAAGCATAGGGTGAAAAATGAAATGAGTGAGAAATCCTTTCATTTATAGTCATTCATCTGAAATGACGGAATCTTTCAATCATTTTCATTCAAATAAGAGGAAATTGATTTTCATTCCGTAACACTCATCATCATAATCACTCAAATGAATGAATGTGAACACGTATGAGATTAACATGTTAACGTACAACTACAAAATTTTCCACTTCTATTTTAAATAAAAAATGATTGCTGGAAAATTTCGAATGTAACAATTTTTTACCCAACCCTAGATCAAAGAACATTTGGTCGAAAACGGGCATCGAGTCCAGGCTGCCAGGATGGAGGTCGATTTTCCCGGAGTCCTTGAAGAACTGTACGATTCCCCGGAAGAACACGGGTTTGAAGATCCCTACGTTCTGTTGGCCCTTAATGAAAAAATCGACGAGGCCCTTGGCGAGGAAATTGATGAGAATTATTTACACTATGAAATGACCCTTATGGTGACAAACCAACTCATGATCAGATCCGGTACGGTGGAACATTCAGCGTATGAACAGGTACATATTTAAGAAAAGGGTTATCCATAAACTACGTAACGCGAGGGGAGGGTCTAAGGCACCAATGATATCGTGCATATGCATTTATGTTACACATGTTAAAGGTGCCTTACTTTTGCGTCACGTAATTTATGGACGGCCCCAAAGTCAATTTATTATAAATAGGCACTTAGATAGAAATCTGGAATATATTGATTTCCCTGGATTAAAATTATATGTACCACCGATGCATCAAAATTTGCTACGGATATGGTAAAACTTTAATGCCGAGTATGATATCAGTTATTTGGTCAACTCACAGATGTATGTATGCACACCGTTCGGTGACGGTTACACATATAACACTTGGTTTTTAAAAGTACATGTATCAATACAGAGTCACATACCTAGATACTAATACCGGATGGTATTACTTTAATACTGGATTTCTAAAAGTGCATTTATGCACATGAAGAAGACCGCATTTTTAAAAGAATAATTTAATTTTTTTCTTTCAGATGGCGAACAATTTGCCCTATTTAAAACTGAAGAACTCAATTGTGAACGATATTGTGAGACTGATTGATAGGGTGGAGAGATTAAAGACGTGATTATCTATTTACTACCCATTAATAGAAACCATTGTTCATTCAAATTAATACAAAGTAAAAAAAATTAAAGGTTATTTGGCCGATGATTTTTTCCTTATGTTATTATTAAAATAATTTATTTTCAAACTTACACCTGATTTTCACTTCAAAAGTAGAATAAATATGCAAAATTAAATCGTTTTCAATAGCAATCAGTAAATTATGCCGTTTGACCTTTTAAATAATTTTGGGAATTTTACTGCATATTAATTTTCAGCGAATCACAATTGTAACCAAGCCGGTTAAGTCATATATTGACACCGGCGGTGTTGATTTGACAAATTTTTGTCTTGAGTGCATATGTAAATCATGTAAATGGCTCCTGGAAGATTTTAAAGGAAATTTCACCTCGAAATCCTTATTATAACCTCGGACCTATTTACCTGAAACTTAGGTTAAAGGTCAAAAATCATATATGTTTCACAGTGTTTCATAAAAAGTATCCCGTTCTAGACTTATCAACTTCTATAAAAATAATATATTTAATTAAATACAACAGAATTTGAATATAGGCATATATATTTTTTGTTTGTAAATTTTTATGAATTGTTTGTCAATAATTATTCAGAAAATTAAGTTCTTCTAGGTTAATACTCATTAAAAAATGCTGGTCATTAGTGTACATATTTATGTACATATCAATATATCTAGATTTTCAGAGAAATTACAAGGGTACAGATTCCAGTATCGCCACGACTACTTTCTAGACCCTTAATCCTTTTTCTTTCCAAAAATAGGCCCTTTATTTTTGCAATCCGCATTATCCTAAATATGTAACAGAAAGGTCAAAATTTAAAGTTAAAAAATCGGGGTAAGAAATTAATCCTGCATAAGCTATACTTCAAATGGAAAGAATACATTTAACCCTACATAATCTTGTTCATTTTAGATAATTCGTATCGTGTCCCAAGTTTTAACAGTTTATAGACTTTTTTAAGATTTTGTAACGAAAAGCCGGGTTACTAAAAAGGCAGATATTTTTACTAAGATTGACCCCACATTTTTTATTTGAAAACTCTTTAGCCATACGAAGTACGTAAATTGTGAATACCCTGAAACTCTCACCCCTGATTAAGTTTTGGGTCATTGTGTGCATCCATTCCGAAAAATTAAAAATTTTAAGGATGTCAGTTTAAATGAGATATGAATGTCCCCTTTATATATTAATAGATGGAGTATCTCTCATCTTTCCATTTTGAAAATTATTAATAAGGGGCCGCCCATAAATTACGTGACGTAAAAATCACGATTTTATACACCTCCCCTTTAACATGTGTAACATGGGCACGATTTTATTGGACCCAATGTAGACCCCCGCCTCTTGCGTTGCGTAATTTATGAACGGCCTCTATGAAAAAATTAAGCGTGTCATGAATTTTAGTTAATCAACGTGTTTTTGGTTATTTTGATACATATGTAATATAGGAATGCTGGACTCTATATAAATAATAAAAATAGCTTACAAATTACACGACGCAATTTGGAGAGTGATTTTTGTGTTGTCGATTTCATATTCTGTAAAATCTGGCTCAATCCGGTTATTATCTTTTTTTGTTGATGTTTTGATGATGGGGGTAATATTTTGTAGATTTCCTAAGTCAGAAATTTGACCAGTAATGAGAGTCACTTTAAATTAGAAATGTCATTAGAACGATTAGATTAACTTCATTTGGTATAATTAGGTTATTATAATTACCTAATCATTAGGGAGATTGAGAGACTCGACTGTAAATTTTCTACGTATCAATCATTAACGGCTAATTACGAAAAACAATGATATACATAAACAATGACATCCCTTTTAAGAGCAAATATGTCAAAATTTATTTTAACTATTGATCAATTTCAGTCTGCAAATTTATTTGAGATATTGGACATCTGTATGGATGGGCTTCAGAAAAATTTCATTTTGGCGAAATTTGAAGCACAACGAAACGATGTTATACTTATTTTTATTTTTTTTTAGATTTATTGAAGTTTTTATTAACAGTATCATTCAAGTCCTTGTATTGATTTTAGCCCTGGATATCTAGCGACTATACTCTAATATACATTTAGAAACAATGAATACAAATTTAGAAACATTGGTTGTCATTTCGCTTCAAAACCTCGAATTGAAGTTTTTTATCGAAACGAAATGACTGATTTCGTTACGATCGTTATCGCTTTCGTTACGAAAATAAATCACCATATGCACGTCTGGTTTTATACCTTGATCAAATCTTGATTTTCGCAAGCTCTCTATTACGAAAAAGTAGTATAAAACACTGAAGCTAGCGGTCTCCTCTCGCAGTCTAACTTTATACCTCACCTGGTAAAATAATCGTTCCTGAAAGTTCAGGGGTGCAATGCGTCATGATATGTGCGTCGTTTTGGTGTTTATTTGTCTGTCGATATTAGTGAATTCCTTACCAACCAATAAAGGTAACCACCAAGAAAGTTAATATTTTATCCAAAACTGTAAATTTTATTCAAAATTTTCTAAACTTTCCTATCTTCAGTAAGAATCTATAATTAATTAGTGTTTTAACGTAATTTTTCAAAATATTTACATAATTTACAGATTCCAACTTCGCTTCCGATCAGCTCCTCCAGCACAAAATCTCCTCCCTATTCAACTTCTTCTGTGCCCGAAACCCTGACCAACATGCCGCCAAAGTATCGACCTTTGACCCCTTAAACTACCTCTCCCTTTACACCAATCCTGACACGGTGTCCAAGTTTGTCACCGCACTTCAGCAGAATCTCACCTCGCCCCGATGGGGCCCTTACCTCTCTGACAAAGAGCGAATCGACACCATCCCGATGTTCGATATCCTCTACTTTATCGACACTTCGACCCCTCAAGGATTTGACCTATTTTACAATACGACCGCCTATTTCTCTTTGAAGGCGAACGTCCGCCAATTCATTATGGCGATGGAACTGATTTCCTCCACGAAGTTTTTTGGGCGGTTAACCCTTCCCCCCTTTTCGACCAGTGTGCCGCAATTCTTCTCGCCAAAGTCGGTCCTCTGGGGGATTAATGATGTCGTAAAACCGCATTTGGGAGAGGGGGAGCATGTTGAGGAAGATGGCGGGGATAAATTGACCGGGGCAGTGGGAGAAGATCCGACGTATTGGAAGTTCGATGCGGGTTATAGGGAATTTCATTTCGCTTGGAACATGGATCTTCCCCCAGATTTGGTGCAGGACAAGTATCAAATTCGGTTTGATAGGAAGGGAGAATTATTTCTGTAAGTGGGGTGAAGGGGGAAAGGGAAGGTGCATATATGTATTATATACTACGTCATCAAAAAGAATTTGTGGGAATTTGACTCGCTTTTGTCACCCGTGTTAAGGATAACATGAGTAGGATAGGGAAGTTGTGGAAAAATTGGGCGTGTTTTTTGATGACGTAATATGTGGACGGCCCCAAATTTAAATGTGGATGGGTCGAAGGCTTAAATGGTTTTTAGAAAATATCCAACTATGTATATTTATATTCAGGAAAAATTACACTCTAACTAAAACTCTGCCAGATCAGCAGATTAAAAAATACACACTATCCACCATCAAATTCATGTCAAGAAGACTCTATGCGCACACTCTTCAAAATAATGTTAAAAAGTGTAACATTATTTTTAAGAGTGCATGATTACCCTTAATTTGTATAGTGTGCTGTAATAAATTGGATGCCCTTATTTTTTAGGTATTCCCACCACTACATGGAAGTCAGATATTGGGCCGAACTTCGCTCCCAGAATTTGCCCGATATTGAAACCTTAACTTTAAACAAGACTTTTAAAGTTACTCAAGGATATTCTCCCTTCTTTCTTATGGCGGATTTCTCCGTGTTTCCGGTTCGAGGTCCGGGCGATTCTTTAACGACGCAGGATAACTTTCAGAATTTGACGATTTGGGAGGACATCATTCTGAAATCTTTAGCCGATGGGTATGCCGTTGGGGTAAGTGAATTAATTATTTATGATAATTAGGTATAAATTCATAAATACTTAAGGTGCCATTCGAGAACGATTTGAAAAGTTTTAATTATTTCAAAACGCATCAAGAAATTTGCATTTAACGACGTTAAATTAGGGTAGATTGAAATTCCAAATCTATGACTAGGTTATTCCTATTTAATTATAATTAATTGATTGATTGATTGATAGTCATTTATTCACATGTTATTCCTTGATCAGTACAATTTAATGACTGGTTTACATCAAGTAACACAACTTAACTACATATCTTAGTCTTAAAATTATCCATTTCGCATTACAACTAATCATAATTACTTTTACGCTGTTTCATAACAAACTCCGTGATACGACTACGTACATTTCCTGAGACATGTATTTTATCATCCAAAATTTCTTGTATCATTACAATGTCCAATGCATTCCAGATTAAAATTGAGTAATAACGCACTGAATTGGTAAACATGACCGAGTTGTGCGTCAGTACGTGCATTTTCTGTGAACTTGTAGTTCTGTGACCCGTTTCGTTAAATACATACATATTATTGAATTCATTTATATTGGTCTCATATTTTTTAATCTTAAACAAATTCCATAAAGCATAATATTCAAGCCTCTCGTTAATCGATAACAGATTAAACTTTTCCAATAACTCATCGTAATTTATAACCGCATGTGACCTTCTGCAATCCGCTCTTGCCCTAGTTACAGTATTATTATCAGATTGACATTTCCAGTACGTTTTGGAATAATATTTACCTATTTTTGGGTAACAAAAAGTAGCTAATAATTGATTGACTTTAGCTTGCATTTTTGTAAAATCGCATACTCTGCTTGGCCCCCACACCGCAATACAATAATCGGTCAAAGCATTTACATATGCATTTATCAATACCGTAAGCATATGTCGTGTGAGGTGTCGCCTTAACCTAGTAAGTATTCCAACATTTATACTAACTCTCTTCTGTACGTTTTCTGAATGACCCTTGAATGTAAAGAATTCATCTACCACCACTCCTAAATATTTATATGAGGTAACCCTTTCAATTTCCTCTCCATTAATTAACATAGGTGGTAAATTCGCTAATGTTTTACAATGCTGTCTCTTTCGGATTATCATATACTTCGTTTTTTCCTTATTCATACTTAACCCTTTACTTTCTAGCCAGCTATTTAAATTACATAATTTTTCAGTCATTTTGCACATTATTTCATCAATATTGCTCCCACTAATTTGCACGGAAGCGTCATCCGCAAATAAGGTATAGAAACAATCAGTTAAAATCAATTTAATGTCGTTTACAAATAAAAAAAATAAAACTGGACCATTCACGAAACCTTGTCGGATTCCACGATTTGCAATAAATGCTCTCGAGATAAAACCATTAAGCTTAATATAATAATGTCTGTTTTTTTTAAATAATTACATATTAATAAAACCAATTTTGCATTAACTTTGTAAAAATCACGCAGCATTTTTAACAAGTGAAAATGGGAGATCGAGTCAAATCCTTTCCTTAAATCAATAAATGCGACCACCACAATTTGGTTTGGTTTGTCTAATTCATTAAAAATATTTTGTGAAAAAACTGTTAATGCTGTTGTACAAGATCGTCCCGTTCTAAATCCATGCTGATTATTATCTAATACATCTAATTTTTCTATCGGAGGTAATAATTTCATTTTAAGTATATATTCAAATAATTTACTAATCGAGTGGAGAGAAGATATTGGCCTGTAGTTGTTCGGATCCACATGGCTTCCTTTCCCTTTATACAAAGGTAAAACCAGACCTTCCTTAAATCTATTCGGATATGTACATGTCGTAAATATCGTTGTAAAAAATATTGCCAATGGCACAAGTAAAAAGGGTAACAGAGGTTTTAACATTTTGATTGGAATTCTATCTTGACCCGAAAACTTTGGTTTCAATTTAGGAATACATTTTGATATATCGTTCTCACTAACAACATTATTATTTTCCTCTGCTAAGGCTTCATTCTGCAATAATTTTAACAAATCATCATTATTTGCTTGCGTGGTTTCATTTTGTAATATAAATGTATCACTTAAAAGTTTAGCTATATCATTTTTATCAGTCACCGTCTTATCACCACTCTTAAGATAATTTATGTCTGCCGATTGTTTGATATCTTTACCAGTTAATTCTGAATAGGCTTTCCAAATTGTTTTTGACTCTAGACTAGAAAATTGTTTCTTAAAATATTCACGTTTTTTTTAAAGAAATGCGATTTTTGGTGAAATTACGAATTTTGTTATATTGCTTTCTCAACTCTGGGGTTGGAGCCTTATCAAACATGTTTTTAAACTATCTCTTTTTTTAATAAGCTGCAAAATTTCTTCATCCATCCATTCTGCAGCATTTCCTCTAATCCTTTTCTTTTTTATGGGACATAATTGATCAATAACATTCATCACTGTAGTTTCTAAAACATCAAGTTGAGAGTTTACGTCAAAATTTTCCTCTAAACAACTCCAACCACGTGCTTTTAAATACTTGCCTATTTCATCAGCACTAAAATTCTTATAAGAACGAAATTCAATAATCTTCGATTCAGTTTTTGCCTTCTTTGCACTTTTTACAAAATACGTGAACCTATGATCCGTTGTAGTAATTGAAAATACACCTGATTGTACTATTTTCGTTGGAAAAGAAACATATACGTGATCCAAAAGAGTGCAAGAGGTTAGCGTGACCCTCGTTGGGTCCTTGATCAACTGACAAATTCCTACACTATTGGTCACATTCTCAAGTCTCGCTTTGTGTAGGGAATTAACAATTAAATCTACATTCAAGTCACCTAAAATTACATAATCTACCTTATCTCTAATTACTAAACGTATTAATGAATGCATTTCGCGTAATTTCTGAATATCTCGTAATGACATTTAATAAATTCCCGACAGAAAATAATCAAACTAAGATGGCCATTTATTATTTTTCAGAAATCTAGAGAACGATATCCTTACCATCAACCTAATGAAACTGATGCCTCCGATATTGCGGGAACCGACGTATTTGGCGCGCTTTTCCAATCAACCACAGCCTCCGTAAATATCGACCTGTACGGAAACCTGCATGAATCTCTTCACCTGAATTTGGCACATTTACGCGATCCCAGATTTCCTACAAAGGTGCGTCACCTTGATTCCGATAGAGAGAACCTCAGTCAACCTTCGCAAATATTCCTAAATTTGCAACAAAACTGCGAAACTTTTCTCAATTTCTTTCGCAAACTTTTGCTCCAAAGTGTGTGATTTTTTCGCAAATTTGCTGAAACTTATCTTTACCGATATTTACATATTTCTAAGATAACTTATGTAAATCCATAGAGGCAACATCATAATAGATGTTTTTAGAAGTATCTACATAGATTTGCGAGATTTACGAAGCCCAATTTTGCCAACCTACTCATTGCACAAATATGTGTAGCTCGCAAGTTTGCTAAATGACTTGCGGTGCAAAATTATACGTTGTCATAATTTCGCTTAGAATTTAAAAAAAATCCCTTAATTTATTAAATATCATTAATTTGCCCAAAATATAGTTGCCCAAAGACGTCATGGGCGTAATGGACCATGCCGAATCGAGCGTGACTGACTCTGCTTTTTACCAAATTCACTACTATGTCGACAATTTATACAAGAAGCACAAGTACTACAGTCCCCAAATACGAAATGAGGTATGGAAACATATGTATTCTTTGTTAAAGCTTTCAAACCAAATATTACCATGAACTTTCGAAATTTGAAATTTTCCACATTCAATTTACACCGAATTTAAAATAAGAAATTTATTATTTCAGCAAAATATGGCCTACCCGGGTATAACTGTTCGTCAGGTAGGGTTGAATTCAAGCCAGCATGTACCCCAATTAAAAACCGAGAAATTTCCCGTATTAACCACATATTTTGAATACTACTCTTACAACGTGACCAATGCTGTCATCGACTGCCAAAAACTTGAGGTTGGTCTTAATTTAAGTGCAAATTTTTCCGCAATATTGAAATTTTTGCATATTTTCGTATGTTTTGTTGATTTTTTTAGTCTGGGAAGGAATACGTGATTTCGAGAAAGAGGCTGAATTATAACAAATTTGAATACAATTTTGACATATTTTCCTCTCATGGAGGAAATGAGGATGCAATCGTTCGTGTTTTTATGGGGCCGTATATCGCTGCGGATGGAAAGCCGTACCCGATTGATGACTTCTACTGGAATATGATCGAAATGGATAAGTTTCCTGTGGTGATCGAGCCAGGAGAGGTAATTTGCTAGATTTTTTATTTAAATGGGGCAATCCACGCGTATGTTAAAATGTTTCTCAATTTGCGCCAAGTTCATAATTCAGCAAATAACGATACCAGTAATGCCTGGAAATGAAAGCTTAACCCTTAATTTGCTGGATAAATTTAAGTTTGACAAGACTAAAATTCGGTTTCTACAAAAAATGATAGTATTTGCAAAATTTTGAATGTTCCATTTGAGACATTTTTCTGGGAAAATCAGCTTATTCCGATTTTTATCTGTTCGACTAAATTTTTACGTTTTAAGACCAAATTTGCAATTGTTTTTTCAAATTGTTACTTTTTAAGACCAAATTTGCAATTATTTTTTTCAAATTTTTACCTTTTAAGAGCAAATTTGCAATTGTTTTTTATTCAAATTTTTACCTTTTAAGACCAAATTTGCAATTGTTTTTTTTTAAATTTTTACCTTTTAAGACCAAATTTGCAATTGTTTTCTTCAAATTTTTACCTTTTAAGGCCAAATTTGCAATTTTTTTATTTCAAATTTTTGACTTTTTCAACAATTACAGAATCGTATCACGCGAGCCAGCAGTGACTCCAGCATTTTGAAGAAGGACGTCATCGCACCTGGCGAGCTTAAACGAAATTGCGGCTGGCCTTCGAACCTCCTCCTTCCCAAAGGAAACCCTGAAGGCCTTCACATGAAACTATTCGTAATCGTGACCCCCGCTAAGGAACGACACGGGGTCAAACTTACGGTCCAGAATGCCGCAGAATTTCCCGCCTTTTCCCTCTGTGGTCATCCATACAGTTATCTCCCGGACGATAAGCCGATGGGATTCCCCTTCGATAAAAGGATGCATCTTGACAACCCATTCGGCAGCGTGGGAAAGAGCAATTTTATGTTTTATGATGTAACCATTAAACATTTAATTAGTTTGTAAATAAATCATCTTTTAATTATTTATGTCAAGGTGACTTAATTGTTCGCAATTTTGAATATCAAATTTTAATCTACAAATTTAATCAAATCGCAGAACTGCGAAATAACTAATTATCTGTGCAAATTATCTAAATAAAGGTTGAAATTTATGAAAGATTTTGAAGTATTTATTTATGTATGTGAAATTAAGGGATGATTTTGTATTAATTGAAATAATTATGGTGGAGATTTCTTGCACTGAGAACAATGAGCCAAAATAATTTTGAAACAGTAATTGTGATGCGTTTTAATTGGTCAAATTTTTTGGTACATTCCACACACATATTTATTCATGTACTTTTACTGTTAGGGAACAATTTTGGTTTACATAAAGTGCCCAATTATCATATCTTGTCGTCATTTGTACTATTTCTGGCAATATCAATCCTCACAAATTTTCGTATTGCGGGATGCAAATATTTTACATCTGTGCAAACTCCTTTTGAGTTGGATCCCACTGTGACCAATTAAAACGCTTATTTAGTCATGAGTCATGACTAATAATTGTAACCTGCACACATGCAATCTTAGAAATCCAGTATTAAAATAATACCAGGCGGGTTTCATATATGACTCTACCAACGATGTATTGATAAATAATATCGTACAGTAATAACCCGGTATTGAAGTTTTACAATATTGGTATCAAATTTTTACTCACCGGTATAATTTTAATACCAAGCGGTACCAACTTTAATACCGAGAAATCAATACCTGAGTGACTATACCGGATTTCTAACAGTGTAGCATACGTATTTACATAGGTGTCAACATCGTGAAGTATATATATATGTTACCTGAGAATAGTAGCCCTGTAGTTACAGTTATTATCGCCGCCACGAGAGAGTAGAGAAGGTACGAGAGTTGGAATATCTTTTCAGCCCAACTACATGTATTCATGCATAAATTGCATATGTAATTATGCTTGGAATTATGTAAGTAACATGTTTTAAACATAAAACCATATAATTAATTAAGTGCATACCTTTCAATTTCTTCCACTGGTTCCATGGACTTGATTACTGTACCATTTGATTGGGGGCACTGATCAATTGAGGTCGGTAAATGGGGCAGTGTCTTCTTTTTCACGAAGGCCATCACACTAATAAACATCATGGATCCCAGTCCGATCACCAGCCCAAGCGTGGCACCCTGCACATAAATATTTATATAAACAACAAAATCATATTAAATAAATAAATAAGTTCCAACAAATTACTTACTCTAGCGTTCGCTTTAGGAAAGGCCATCCCTAAAATGAAGACGCCATAGATCGCCCCCGCAGTTGCCCCGACCTAGTTAAAAACAAATGTTTCTTTACAAAACTAACCATGGAGATCCCCAGTGCATGATTTTAACCAAATTTAGTTCGGTAGCGTCAAAATATGTCCTAAATCTGATTACACACGTACACATGATCTCCCAATGGGTGCGTTTGCCCAAGATATTTGCATTCGAAGAGGAAAAATAGCGTCAGAAAAGTCGGAGTGTAAAATTTGATTTCTCCTCACCAGATGCAAGTATCTCACAAGGGACACTCACGACCTGTTGTTTGAGTCCAGGGTACCCACCATGCTTTTTAGAATCTACTAGGACCCCAGATGAAGGATTCATTCATATTTCCGTGTAAAACTCATATTTGGCGCCGTGCCGTGACGCCAAACTTAAAAATTTGCATTTTCGACCAATTTCAAACCCTCATAACTTTTGCAGATTATGTCGGATTTTCAAAATTTTATGCTTAAAATGATCACAAAAGTCCAAATTTATGAGAAAAAAATAAAAATAAAAAATTTCTAATTTTTGAAATATTTTTAGCATTTTTCCAACGAACCCTCATTTCTAAGAAAATACGAAATTTTGCGAAAATTTAAAAGCAAAAATTTTGGAAAAAATTTCATGGGATACGAAAGTTGAACTCCTTGTCATGATTTTTGCCAAAAATTTTGAAAATCCGCCCAGGATTTCAAAAGTTATGGCGGTTTCAAAAATAAAAACATTGAAATTTGGCGAATTTAGCGCCACGGCACGGCGCCAAATATGAGTTTTACACGGAAATATGAATGAATCCTTCATCTGGGGTCCTAGTAGATTCTAAAAAGCATGGTGGGTACCCTGGACTCAAACAACAGGTCGTGAGTGTCCCCAGGCCCGTACAGACGATGCTTCTAGGTGGAGCGCTGGCTCCAGGCCGTACGACCCGAAGGGCCGTACCGGCACGCCCTATACACTAGATATAATTGTCCTATCACACGCCGCAAGATAATTCCACACTAATCATCGGAAAATGTAAGGAAGACGTGCTTAATTTGCCAGGCCGTGTGGTCCTATTCAAAAATCTAGCGATTATAAACCCGAATCTGCTCTTACGGGTTTAGACCTTTAGCTCATGAGAACGTTGTTGTGTCATACAAAATGTAGTATTACACATAATTTCATACCTCCCTCCACGAGTTCATAATCCAATGTAACTTTTGATTTCCAGAACTGAGCTAGGGAATTTAATTTCAAAGAAAGTGAATATCGTCGGGTACTTAGGGGGAGGTATTCAAAATTGGTTTTTCCAATTTCGTAAAAGCTGATATAAATATAAAAGCCGGTTTTTGATTTAAGCAAAAACCGGTCACAATTTTTACAATACTCCAAAAAACCGATTTCACAATTTTCGAAGAAATGGGTTTTGTAAAAATCCGGTGTTTACACACTCGAAAACCGGGTTTTGGTTTTTAATCATACGAATTTTTTTGGATCTAATGTTTAATGTTTGACTAGCCTATAAGCCCGTCTTAATGACGGGCCACGTTTCAAACAAATATATCAAAATTATTTAATAAAATCAACCAGTCTACGACTGTCGCGATGTATCACTCCCTATGAAATCCTTGGCTTGTTTTGGAAATGATTTAGGAATTTTTATAACGTTGTGCAGAACTTATCAATGTCATCACAAATATTGAATGTTCCCAGACAGTTTCTAACGTTGCGACCGACTTTTTTATGGCTGCTATGCAATTTTTTAACGTTGCTCAGGAATTTTTTTGACTTTGCTAAGGAGTTTTTTAACGTTGCTAAGGAAATTTTTTAACGATGCTAAGGAACTTTTTTAACGTTGCTAACGACATTTTTTAACGTTGCTAAGGAATTGTTCTCACCTTGATACAGAAATTTTTTAACGTTGCTAACGAATTATTTTAGCGTTGCCTAGGATATGTTTTAAGCCTGCTACGGAATTTTTTTAAAGTTACTAAGGAAATTTTTTATCGTTGCTAAGGAAATTTTTTAACGATGCTAAGGAACCTTTTTAACGTTGCTAACGACATTTTTTAACGTTGCTAAGGAATTGTTCTCACCTTGATACAGAAATTTTTTAACGTTGCTAACGAATTATTTTAGCGTTGCCTAGGACATTTTTTAAGGCTGCTACGGAATTTTTTTAACGTTGCTAAGGACATTTTTCAACGTTTCTAAGGAATTTGTCTCACGTTACTAAGGAAATTTTTTAAGGTTGCTACGGAATTTTTTTAACGTTGGTAAGGAATTTTCTTACGTTGCTACGGAAATTTTTTAACGTTGTTATGGAAATTTTGTAACGTTGCTAAGGATTTTTATTAACTTTGCTAATGATTTTTGCAACGTTGCTAAGACATTTTTTTTAGGTTGCTACGGAAATTTGTAAGGTTGCTAAGGAATCTTTTTAACGTTGTGAGGGAATTTTTTAACGTTGCTAAGGACATTTTTTTAAGGTTGCTTACCGAAATCATAACCGAAATCATAACCAAATCATAACCGTAATCATAACCGAGATCATAACCGAAATGATAACCCAAATCATAACCGAGATCATAACCGAAATGATAACCCAAATCATAACCGAGATCATAACCGAAATGATAACCCAAATCATAACCGAAATCATAACCGTAATCATAACCGAAATCACAACGTATTCATAACCGAGATCATAACCGAAATTATAACCGTAATCATAACCCAAATTATAACCGTAATCATAACCGAAATCATAACCATAATCATAACCGTAATCATAACCCAAATCATAACCGAAATCATAACCCTATCAAACAATCGTAACCGTGCTCTGATTGGTGGAGCTAGAAAGCTGTCAGCCAATCAGAATGCAGGAATGTCACGGAAAATCTCACGGGACGGACTTTTCGAAATTATAATATAGATTATTGAGATAAGAATTAATCATGCTATAATCCCTTATTCCCAAGTTTACATTTAATTTGAATTTTGCATTAAATTTGTGGTTATTATATTTGCTAATTTTTTTAAATTTGGAATAAAACCGTCTTCAAAACCCGATAGGTGCGAATCGAACACATTTTTCCTACGAATTTCCAAAATCCGATTAATATAAACCTGGTTTCGCAGAATTTTCCAAAATCTGATTAATCGAAAACCGGTTTTACCAAAATTTGAAAAAGCGGAATAAGCGTAAAACTTATGATTTTGGACGCCTTATTTGTGAAGCTAGCACATGCTTTCTGGTTAATTGGGCGGAATGTAGATTGAGCTTAAACCTATTTAGTGCTCAGGGGTTCTTGGTCAGGGCGGATTTTTGGCATGAAAATGTTTAGCATGAAATAGGAAAAGCGACATGGGAACACTTTCGGGTTGATTTATATAAACACAAATGTTTGGTACACATTGTATTGAAATTTCGGAGTCCTGTGAAGGTGTAATTTAATAGAAATCAAAGAATCTGCCGCTTCGCGTCAAAATTCCTTCCTGAGTACTAAGCTTTAATCGTTTGATTCGAGCGAAGACAATTGTCGTTATGGAACACGTTCTAATTCGGGAAGAAGAGTAGTCGCACTGAAAAATTGTGCTCATGGTGCAAGACGAAAGTAATTGTTGTTTCTGGGACTCCCAGACTGGGAGGACACTTATTTCCGCTATTCTCTCTCCGCGACGTATGTATGTAAAAATTGTTTTGATTTTAGGAGATTCTACTATAGCAGAATCCCCCCATTTATGCAATTGAGTGTTAATAAGAACATTTTCCTTCTGAAAATTTGGACATTTCTAATGGAATGTCAGACTCTGTATATGTTTTAGACTTTTATTTGAATCAATGCATTCTTCCTCCCATACCACTACCGTAACATACGTATGTACTTATATTGTAACAGAATTAATGCATCATTGTATTCCTCATACATACTCCTGAAAAGGTTAAACTATGGATCTGCCTCGGTACCGTTTTTTGAGATTTTTAGTGCCGATTCCAAGGGACAAAGAGAGTGGAATTAGCACCAATATTATAAAATTCTAACCTTATGAGTTCCGCTGCAAATTATAACCCACTAAGAATCATACCCTGTAAATCGAGCATATTTTGTTGAAAACCCTGTAAATCGCTGGGAAACGTAATTGACATGTACTTTGGTTCACTGAAACATGGATTATACAGTCTGACATTTATTATGTAATCAAAACGAGGTTAGAATTGGCATTTTATAGATTAGTAAAGTGGTAGTATTATGTTTCCGTAAACCACCGTAAAACACATGTAGTAAGTCCGTAAAACTTGGCCAATAATACAAGCATATTTCACTCTATATAATGAACGTAATACCCCAATATGCGCGGCCACGCTTTTCTCGCCTCACCTCCTCGCAGCAGTGAGATCTTGGACGGTGTCTCGAGAAATCTCTATTAATTTGACCAACTTGTCAATTTCGAAATTTTAAATATTCGAACCATTGGATTATCCGAATCGGTGCTGTACAATCCTGTTTGGGTAAGTTTTCTTAGAAATTATTGGCATGAGAATTATATGCAACCCGGTTTGCCTTATCGCTTTTTATTTTGTATTTAGGGACTACAATGTTTGCTGTTGTCCACTTCACGTCATCAGACGACGATTCAGTGCAACTCGTTCCGTCATCATGGTTGGATAAGACCAGAACTCAGTGTCGGTGGCCATCGGGAACGAAAGCAAATCAAATTGCTGCATCCCTTATCAAATCCTGCTCACTACCACAAGACAATTGGCCTTATCTGCCTTGTTCGTTTAAGAAATCTTTTTGTAAGCACAAAATATATTTAGTTAAAATTTATTTGAAATTTTTTAAGACATAATTAGAATCTAAATCGTATTTTTTTGAATTACAATCTAGCTGATTATCAAGCTGGGAGACGGACTGGAAAGAAAATAGCAGAAGATTCAAATCTCTCTTCCTCCGAACCTGACGTTGGGGCTGGCAGGTTAAGGAAAAGATCCAGAATTACGAAGAAATTATCAAAACACATTGAAAAAGAATCGGATGATGATTTGCGGTCGACCTCCCCTGTTATTGAGTCGGATGATGAAGCTGTAGCAAAACTTCCAAAACTCGGTAAATCTTGAAGGATGAAGGATTGTTTGACCAAAGTGAGATATCGTTG